TGATCTGTTATGTTGCACTGTGATATTTTTGTCTTCATGCTTTGGTACATCATTGCTTTAACACTACTATAAGGTATCCACTGTATAACGAACACATAAGATCAGGAGTCTATCAATATTGATAGACTCCTGATAAGATAACATAGCTAAGTACCCATTTCGTCCTTATTTACACTTACCATTTCTCTGCTTAATCCTGCTATTCAAATTTGCATTTAGGTGCCCTTCAATACAATCTCAATGCTATAAGTGTATATATATAGTATATGGCTGTACATGTCATAGAGACGTACTCTTGGATCATTCGATGCCAGACCACTGCCACCTCTCTGGTTGACATCACCACAGTCATCTTTGAAGTATATTACAGCTATTAGAATGCAAAATACACCATAATATGTGAGAGTTAACAAAAAAACAAATCGAATTTTCATTTGAAACTATTACACACTGCTCACTCTGTCTACATTTACTGGCAGCATGTATCTGTCCGTATCCGAAAATTTGTCTTGTGTTTATTAAAAACTAGCTCAAGCAACACTAGCAAGCTGTGTTTTACAACTTTGACATTTTTAAAAACTGTGGTGTAAGAAATGGTTAGGGTTAGGAAATTTCAGACAATTTCCTTTTAGTGAAAATATCTCTTAGGACTGGTGATATTTGTATTAATAAGTAAGCTAGTTAAAAATTATTTCATAGATGGTCAGCATTGCATTAGTGAGATCAATCTGGCTCTTGGAATTCACTGCATTTCGTGACTGATGTTAGCTGAAGGTTGCTGCTACTTTCACAGTTTTATCACATTCACTTGTAATTACATTGCGTGGGTAATTCTTTGCTGTTGTTTAGCTCGTGTTCCTCTCGGTAGTATAGCTTAATCAATATGAAACTTGAAGATTATGTGTCGGGGACGTCTGCCCTGGTTAGCGCAAGCTATTAGGGCATTGTCACGTGAATATTGTGTGACACTCAGAAGCCATAATTGACACATGCGCAGTACAAGGAAAGCGCATTACTGATATGCTGCTGTTTAGGTAAGCTATGCAATCAGTTTGTCACGCTTCACGTCCGTAAAGCTGTCTCTACCTGTCGGTGCAAAAGTCAGTGGGGCAATACGAAGTGGTAGTGCATCTAGGGTATACTTGCACTATCCTACACGTTCACACCTAGCAGAGCTGTGCCATAGGCGAGTGCGATCAACTCTCCAAAACGAGAACATAGGAAATAGAAGGAACAGTGAAGTTGACCATACCGTGTGATTCAAGGTCAGATGCTGATTCTGCTACGGACCTATAGTAAAACAAAAAACGTATTCGGCATGGCCAGTTTTAACGTCAGCGTGAATTTCACTGTGTCGCCAGTTACGGAGAACTTCAAATACATAGCCCTGATGGGAAGATTGATTCTGATGTCGTCCATCTTCTTCCTAAACACGCTAGTTCTCGTAACGCTCGTTCGAGGACGCCACGCGGAATTCAGCGACATAAAGTACTGGTTTCTTAGGTCGCACGTGTTCTCCGACATCTTCGTATCTCTTATCTTCTCGGCCTTCGTGGTTCTCAAGTACGGCCAGATCAACATCGACGTGAGTTATTTGTGCCTGCTCATGCACTCGTTGCTCATGTCCTCCAACCAGGTGTCAGCCATGAGCCTGCTGTTTGTCAGTGTCGACCAGTACATTGCCATCGTGCATCCGCTCCGTTACAACAGGCTCGTGAGCGAGCTCTCGGCTAAGGTCGCTGTCTCGTTCTCCTGGCTGTTTTCCGCGATCGTCGCCTTCTTGCCGTTGATCATCCGATGGGATCAGCGAGTCGATCACTTTACCGAATGCTCGGTGTCAGTGTTTCCCCTCGCATATGTAGTGTTTTGGGGCATCGTGCAGCTGTACATTCCGTGCGTGCTGATGGTCACCATGTATGCGCAGGTGCTGGTCGTTGCCCACCGCCACATTCGTCAGAACCAGATGGAAGTGCAGCCACAGAATGTCGACGTTCATCTTGGATCGATGCCGTTGTCGATTCTAAAGGCAGAGGTGAAGGTCGCCGTCACCGTTGTGATCATGCTCGTGGTACTAATGGTCTGCTGGTTGCCGTTCAATATTGTCCTCACGATGAATGTCCACAGCGGCAGGATGTTGCACTTGATAGCGGTCGTCGGTCCGCTAGCTGTCACCAATAGTCTCTTCAACCCCATACTGTATCTGATTCGTTTTGCCAAGCTGCGCAAATCTTGCATTGGCATGATTAGATTCAAGTGTTGCAACAAATTCCAATCAGCAGTTCTTCCGATTAATCTGGATGTAATGTAGATAGTAGTGTAAACTAGAGTAGGCAGGCTCCACGTGCAAAGTCTTGGAGAAGGTAGAGTAATGTGTCATATAATAAAGGCTGTGTAGTGTAAAGAAAATTTGATAATTATATATGACGTCCAAATTAAATAATTATTTAGTATGAAATAGATTTCGATTGGCTCGTGCATGCGATGATGCGATTTGCAGTCACGTGATCACAGAATGGCAGCCTCCATGGAATGCCAAGAGAGAAAATGGTTGTCTGTTGGCATTGCCTTTTAAAAACATATGTGTGACAAAATTATACTTTCTGAATTTGGAACAGAATACAGTATGGAAGATAGTGGTATTGATAGTGATCAAATACAATGTGTAGATAGGAAAATACATAATGCAATACAATTGGTAGGTTAGGCAAGATATTCCTGATACTGTGATAGTGTGATAGGCCTAGTGGCCTACTAGTAGTACTAACTAGAAATAATAATATTATTAGTAATAGTAATAGCCTATTAGAATAATATTAATACTAATAGAATAGAATACTAGTAATAAAAATGAATGTTTACATAATACTTAATAGTTATATGAATATAAATAATGTTTACATGTCCTAAAAGTAATAGAATTTTGATTCTCTATTCTGTATCTTTGACTTTTCACGGTTTAACCGTTTAGTATACATAATTATCGTAATTACTCTATGTTATATTACATAATTTACACTTGTGTGTATAGTATTTTTTGTCTCTATTTTTTAGTATGCAGTCAGTAGTATCATATCATATCATATGGTCATAAATGTACTTAGTACCGGTACCTAATTAATCAGTTTACAAATACAAGTGCTATTAAAATTATGCTGTGGCTATATGCTTGGCAGCCGGCACCCTAACCCTAACCCTAACTCTAACCCTAACCCTCTTGTTTACTTGAGAAATCACCGAAAATTAAAAACTGCCGGGCATTTAGGAAATCGAAGACCGTTCCCGGCAGCCGTCGGATATTTTCTAAGTGTCGATTGCGAGTTCGTTCGCTCAGTGATCCGAAGCTAGGAGAATTGGGCTAGTTCGAATTTACAGCTCTAAGGAAAATTGCTTGACATTTCTAAACAAATGTAGAATACTTTGGATCATGTAGTACACTGTTCACTTGAGAAATCACCGAAAATTAAAAACTGCCGGGCATTTATGAAATCGAAGACCATGCCCGGCTACCGAGCATATAGCCACTTTGTTATAGTTACTGTCGGTTTGAACAGACAGTGACACTCATCTATCAACATTGATCGATCTGTCTCGAAGTCTAAATGATACCAAAAGCATTGTGATGCAATTTAGATAATGTAAAATGAATTAATATTATTAGATATTTCTTCTATTAAATGTGAAAATGTGAATATTGAATGTGAGAGCTACCTGTTTACGTGGCAGTAATTGTTCTAGACTGATACCATGAGTTGACATGTAGACATAGCTAGGTAACATAGTGTAGAGACAGGCGGTGATACTCCATTAGGAGTGTTCCCAACTTTAATGTCATTAATGGTCATAATAACATATATATATATATATATATGGTCATGGTCATATAATAGTTTGTGGTTTAATGTCATTTAGGTTAGGGTTAGGGTTAGGGTTAGGGTTAGGATTATCAATCATACAATTGAATAAGATCTAGGCAGTATATAATCATTTCTAAAGTAAAAAAATATGGTATTGTACATAGTAGGGTACAAAATATTTTTTGGCATTTACATACACAAACATATATAGCATGATATTTTGATTGAGCCCTTATATCACGTATTGATACTGACTTGTATTAATTTATGGGGTGTATTAAAATAGTTACACTGTTGACAGTAATATTTTGAATCTAGATGTATGTGTAGTACTGTTGTGAACTCATGTAGATTTAACTCAATATACATCCAAGTTTGTGGTACAATTATGACTATATCTATACATTGAACATGAAGGAATACAATAGCAGCTGTTCCATCAATGATGCCATTTCAAAATTTTTGTAAAAGTAAAACTAAATGGCAGAAATAGGTAGCATGAGGTAGTAAGGGTAATAAGATTTCTTATTATTAGTTTCTCTGTACCATAATTGGTATATATGCACAATATAGTTCATGTTTAGATTAGTCAAATATGCAACACTTCTAGATTATTCAGTAATTAGATGCATTTGGAATATAAATTGTGACATTTTTATCAAAATTTATAGTATTTATTTAAATTGCTAACATTAAATACTCGAAACACTAAGTCAGTTTGTTTATACAATACTATGCTGCTACGTCGAAATGGTTCAGTGTTTGGGCTACACAAAGAAGCATATAAATGATTAGGAATCGATGATCAAAAGTAGATTCGGCCCAAAGTGGAACCTAGTGGCAATTTTTGAAAATTTCTGTAGCATTGCTGCTTGAACAGCTGGTATAGAGGTTTTTCAGGTTTATTGTCTAGATGCAGCCATGATACTTTGCTGTTACTATTAATCATGCATTACTATTTTAATAGGAAGCAGACACGGAGGATGGAGAGCAGTGTGAAGTGGAACACGAAGCAGCGATGCCTTTGGTTAACTTTCGTAAGCCGTCCTACCTACAGAAGAGGTTAGGTATGTCTGAGGCTATATATAAATATATATATCTGTTCACAGCTGTGATCTACAGGAACGAACGTTTTGGCAGGGCACAGCAGGCGCTAATGCGTGTAAAGTGTAAGTGGTAAACAGAAATTATGAACTAAATAATAGATGGCATTATTGTTCACATGTTAACCGAGTTCTTGAGCTAAAACGACATTTTGTATTTGTATTTGTTTAATTTGAAGATGTATGTTAGGATATTTTCATGTTTTTCCCATCGGGATCCTTGACATAAAAAACTGCATAGCATACCTAGATTATTGGTAATGGGCACGTGATAGCCATTTATGGACAACAGAAATGCGTTTGTGGCCAGCCATTTGGATTAAATATTCTTTGGCGGGCAAGATGTTTATGCTAACAATCACACATGTGTTCTATATGCCGTTCTACACGGGCTTCATTGACGTGAAACAACATATGTATAGAACCGCAGAATCATGTACTCTGTGGCCACTTACAGCTGATTTATGGGCAAAACTGTGTTTGTGTGGCCATTTTGAATTTCCACAACTTTTTGGCGAGAGTATATCTATTAGATATTTGAACACAGAGTTTTTATTGCGCAATATTTGCACTTCAAAAACATAGGTATAGATGCCAAGCATCATGGTAATGGGCACTTACAGCTAATTCATATGGCAAAACACACTGTTTTTGGTGGCCACTCTTTTAATTTGATTTTTTTGGCCGCAAGCCGTTGAGTGACTATGTGTTTCCCGCAATCTTTTGAATCAGCATACCAAAAACCCCCCATAGAGAGCAAATTTCCATGATTGCTTTCCAGAAGTTGCACACTTTAACGCTAAAAAATGTCCACATATCCGCCCCTACTAACTGTAATATATAATATATAATATATATGTATAATGTTGTGCCTTCTATGTATTATAC